GTCACTGCAAAGAAGATTTGCCAGAAAACGTCCCATCCACAACTCTCATCTGTCAGTGCGAGGCAACAATTAATTGGAGTTGCAAAGTATTTTCTTTCTCCATGTAGATCAATAATGTCTCGGACAATTAGCCCCCCCCCCCCACACAAAGGGTTGAGGCCTGAATCCTGCATGTCACCCTCTTCACATAATGAAGAGACAGCGGGTGTCATGTCTGGACTTGGCAATCTGCTACTGACATGAGAGTTAGAGTATTAAATGGACTAACTGCCGGCTTTACCGTCGAGGAACACTGGTGTCTGAGCCCAATGATTACCACGGCCCCAAACAAAAATGACATTTGTCTGACAATAAAATTGGATACTAACCTGTCTGAAAGCTGTCTCCATTTGCCTAGAACAAACGTTGGCGTCGGCAAACAGTTTGACACACTTTCCCCTTGAATGCATAGAGAAGGCGAAGCCATCCTTTGGCTCACGGTAATGGCCCCTCATTGTTGGCCGCAGAGGATGTAGCGCTATTCATACCGGTGGATGATTGAAAAGAAAATTGAATCCCTTTTGATGTGATAAATGTGTCTATTACTGCATTTGCACACAAAATGTCGGTGGAAATTATAGTGGGGAGGCAGGACTCAGAGGGGAAAATACATAGGGATGGCATATTTGCTAGCCTTGATTGGAGCTGAAATATAAATATACTGTACCGGTAGATGAAATGAGTCCAAGCTCCCTGATTTTTCCACAGGAACTTCACAAATGAAAGGCCTTGAGAGCCCCAATTGTAAGACTATATAAAAAGGTTAAATGTCTGCATAGCTCTCTCTCTCTCTTTCTCTCCAAAGAGCTGTTTGATAAAGGACACCAACAACTGTTTGCCTTGTAATAAAAGGGAATTTTCTCTTTTCAGAAACTTCAGTTGGCCATGTGTACAATTTCTAAACACGTTGGCATCTCATCCACATACATACAACCTCACATTATTTGTATGTGGGCAATAACACAAGTTCATACTTTGACTAAATGACATGCACAACGAGCAACCTTCTCCTTCAGGGTCGAAGCTTTTTTCCTCTGCATTTTAATAACCATTATTTCATCAGAAAGAGTCTTTGGTGGTGTTAATGAATGAAAGCTTTCCTTGAACAGGAGTTCACTGTTCTCAAAAACTTCTTAAGAACTTTCTCTAAAGAATGTATTACAACAATCCACACAATTCAATATTTACTCACAATTCTCCAAATAACAGGCTTACTGACTTGGTACTGAAGGATCAAGGTCATCCACACAAATTGGTTCTCTGTGGGACACACCCACTGCGCATCTTAACCAGGCTGTGGTCGAGGAGTCGAAAGAAAAATGTTCTTTCCCAACCACTTTGTGAAGCGGAATTCTTAAGGACTTAGAAAAAGACAATCATGGTGCTAAGAGAAGCCGACTTCACTTACACTTGGCTGTTTTTCAGACGCATGAAAGGTAAGTACAGTGACTCATTTCTGTAGGCCGACAATTAAAGTAAGGTTTCCTGTCTAACACAGAACCACACCTCCTAAGAAGGACTGTTTTTAATTCATACATAAGCTACATGTAACCATCACTTCCTCATAGGAAGTAACAACAAAATAGATTGTGGTTGTAAATAAAAACAAAAACAAAACAAACAGGGTTGAAATGTTGAAATATAATAAAATGAAAGGAATGCACAAGTAGAAAAATTTAACCATTAAATTGACACAAAATACAGACTTAAGCAATGGCGTAGAGTACATTCTATTCAGATACAATTATATTAGAAATCCCTGGCATATGTGAATGAATTTCCTCTACTTATCATATGTATAAAAAAGATGATGAGCCATCTTTTTTATACATATGATAGGTAGAGGAAATTAATTTTTGTGCATTCTACAATTCATTCTACAAATATATGAATGGATTTGGGGCTCAGACAATCAAAAGTTTTGGGTTTGTGTCACAAGCATAAAATTTGCTCTGTTGTTTATACATTACATAACAAACTACAATGGCACGATGCTTTCAATACTGCTGCATTATCTCCTTTTCGTAATCAATGGCAGCGTACGCTGTGCTAAAGGAGATCGGACAGGAAGCACTGAAGCCCCTTTCCTCAGCATGTAGAGAATTCAACCAGCTCTTATCATGGCTCAGTTAATCTGGGTTATTTCACAGTGAGTAACCTTCCTAAGGCAATACACTATTTGACTTCAACCCCAGGCTCAGTCCCGTCCTGTGTGGCTTAAAAAGTGTGCAGCAGATGTACTGTTTTCTTTGTTTGATTTTTAGCTTATGATGAAAAATCATAAAGTTCCTATATGTAAGTGCTCTCTGCTGCCAAACGCAGTTTCTTGCTGTGAATGGGTGGTGGTGGTCATGGCCACTTGCCAAGAGCTTCAATCACCCAAGATGGATGTTAATACCAGGTGTGAACAGGGCCAGTGACTCACTATTAAGTAAAAGCAAAGTAGTATTATGAGACAGTATGAGCTAAGGCTAGCTGGTTAGCATGCAAACATCAGTAGAAGAAACAAAGTGATAGAAATAGGAGAAAACTGAGTTAAAATCGTTGTTTCTTTCTTTCCACTGCTGGAGACAGCTCTTAAGGAAAGAAGTTTCTTCTAAACTGGTGAATAAACAGCTGTTAATGCTAACGTTGGCTATGTAGCAATAACAAAAACTTTCATATAGCACCTTTAAGGTGCACAACATTTGGTGAATAACAAAAAACAACTCATTACATTTCTGTCATTTTGTATATACACCTTTGAAGTTGCATCAACGTCCATATACAGTAGTACTACATATCATCATGTAATTAGCACTAGCTGCAGGTTTAACTATGCTGTTGTATTGTCTCAAAATTTGGGATGGGAAGCTCAGTGGAAGCATCCTGGATGCACATAAATTTTTATGATGGAGTTAGGCTTATATCAGTTAAAATGTTCCCAACAAGCATGGTAATTTCTAAATAAGTTATTTTCCTAAATTTTTGCTTTTTATTATAGCAACAAATTTCCCTACGAAAATAGTCCCCAACAACTGCACATTTTGCTCCTGTTTGTGTCCAGTTGCCTACTATAGAAACAAACAAGCTTGGGGCTTAAAGCCACAGAAAAGGCAGGGAAGTCAGAATGACTCTTTTTGTTTTGGTCTTGTGATTTATTTGAAATAACCAAAAATATGGAATATCACCAGTTTTATCCTTTAAAATGGAAACTTGTGACCATGTTTAAAGTTCAACCTGCTTGTATTTGAATCGCTCATTTGTGTCCATCAATCCTTTATCCAGAAATCATGGAAAACATTTTGTAGCAGTTTCCACAAGAAGCAAAAGTGAGGACATATGATCCTTAATCAGCAACAATATCTAATCTTCAAATAATGAAATATAACTCTCCTCTCCTATACTATTCTCCTTCTACACATTTTATTTCAGAAGAAACTTCAGCAACATTAACTCCTGCTCTCCAACACAACTAGTACTTTGTTGATCCTTTCATAAATGATTAATTTTCAAGGATCAAAGACCCAAATGTTAATGTTTGCATTAACAATGATGAGGAAAAAAAAAAAGAAAAGAGATTGAGACACGAGGCACAGTAAGTAAATCTCAGTAAGAAGTGTCATAACAGTACATAAATGTATGCATGGGATATTGTGTGTGTCATCTTGTCTTTTTTTTTTTTACCAGCCCTCTTGTTTTAGGCTGTACCACTCCACCACTCTATTCTACCGCCTGACCCTTACATTTTTAATCGAGACACTCATCTCTCTTTCAATACACAACATCTTTGATGATGAGGCGCTCTTTGATGGCAAGTGAATTTCATTTGCGTCTAAAAGCTTGCAAAGTATTCAGTTCAAGACGATCACCACATTCGTGACTTCTAGGCAATTGCTGTAATGATGCAAAATGGTAAACATTGGCCCAACATCTAAATAATTTAACAGACTGAAAACATGCTGCTCCAATGTTTATGAAATTCATTTTGTGTTTACAGAGTGATCATGCTGAAATGTTCCATGGCATTGAGTGAGCATAAGAGGTCATGTTTGAATGAACTAATTGTACGGGTCCTCTAGATTTCACGATGACTTGGGTCAGACAATAGACTCCACCCTTATGAAGTCTTTGCTGCTGCACACGAGCCAAATGGAATACATCTGAAAAATATTTAGGGGAATTAAAAGTCATCTTATTGGCCTGCCATTGCCGCATACTTGCCTTTTAGCTTGAATGACGTTGAATGAAGTAAGCTGTAACCTAAATTCTAGATATGTCCTGGGGGACTTGCTGCAGAGATGTTTGCGGCACGCTCAGTTTTGATGTTAGGACGGCGTGATGGGGCATCAGGTATTAGGCAGCAGTGCTGACAGTGAGTGCAAGGAGAGCTCAGATTTATATGCCAAGCTCAATTTGGACACAAGTGTCTCCTCTTTGTAGGCGACAGCGCAGACTTCCATCTGTTTGAATGGATTACAGACAACTGATGGTGAAAAGTTCATTAATTGCAGACCTGTATTTTTGTATTGCCCTTCAATGGAGTCTAACTGTCATAGAAATGGACACTCAAAAGGAGTGTAGTCAAAAGTAGTTCTAATTTTAAAAACATTTTTTGACTTTTGTTTTTTAATAACTTACTTACATTTTACAGTAAAATTTGGTCTTTATTTCATTTCATTAAATTACCATTTGCAGGAATTTCTCTTTTCACTGCACATTAGAATGACTCTGATGCAGTGTGGTAGGTGATTAAATGAATGAATAAATAAAAATGAAAGAGCTCTACTGAGGCAAAACTTTAATCACCACACTTCATTCAAAATCAACAATTGTGTCTCCCACTGAGTCCTGTTTAATAAATACACGTGCCTGCAGCAGAACTCCAACCACCTGTGGTTAATGTGTAAACTGTGCAGCAGTGGGGATGAAGATGCCCATAGGAACATTGGCCCCTGATAAGCAAGCTGGGCCTCTGCTGAGTCACTGGACATACGAGTGGACAATTTCATTGACGTGTAAATACCACTGATGGCTCTTGAATTGTTCTGAGAGCAGATGTTAGAGCTCTGCTGTGCATTATATCACCATTTTTTAAGAAGTAGCCCATGTTTGGCCGATGTTTTGATGAACTGGTTTGCCTGGACATAACTCAGGTGGATTTAGAGCAGAGTGGGACTTTGGTCTGAATATTACTGAAAAAGTTCAGGGCCTAAAAGTCTTTGAAGGTAAAATTGGTAAGACTTTTGATCCACTTTGTTGAAAATGGACAGTGCATGTGCTGGTGCTGGGAACCAGCTTCTCCATGTGGACATCCACATTGATGAGCACGAACCTCAGAGAGGAATCCTGGACCTTCTCAGCAGACTCCGTCCTCACTGGAAGGCACAGGACATTCAGATGAAGGCAAGTGAATGTTTGTGTCTCCAGATGTTTGGGTCATCTGCCATTTAATCGATGACTGTGAGTTATTATGAAAACATCAAGTTCCTATGTTTCTAGGTTGGTTTATAAAAGTATCGCTAAGATGAACTTTAATTCTTGTGACCCTGCATTAATCTGTTGGACAATGCATGAACAGTATTTTACTGTATATACTGTAGGGTTTGCTTTGCGTGCGCTGGTCAACCTTGATAATATTAGCACAGAAATCTGGGCCAGCGTTTAGGTTTCAGGTTTTCGGGTGCTGCTCTTCCATCAGAAAACCTGAACAGTTCCTAGCTCCAAGGATGGGAATGGGAAGGCCTCACTAATGCTGCGTTCACACAAAGTCAGCAGAAACACCACTTATTCCAACTTCTTTACCAAGTGAAACCAGACACAAACAAACAGTGTACAGTGCATTAGTTTTAATATTGGATTTCATTTTGATATAATTGCCAGCGATGTTGCATTTGCAGCCATTCTGCCAACAGTTTGTTGATGCGTTTGCAGCTGTTGGAGACATCATCGGTGTCAGAAATTCACAATATCTCCAACTTGAAATCACAAGTTGGAGCCGCTCATAATTACAGTTTAAACAAAATGACAAATCACATGACCCCTGGACTTTATTAAGAAAGAGTCCAATGTTTTTACTTATCTACATATCAGGTTACAATAAGTTCATATTCAGTTCTGCCTCCTCCACTCAGACTCGTTTCAGGTTAGATCCCTGTTAATCCAGAATCATAGAATATTAACCATTTGTGTGAAGTCTGGAGTAATGGCCAAACTCATGTTTTTTGAGGTCACCTTGACCGTGACCTTTGAACCACCAAATTCTAATCAGTTTGTCCTTGAGTCCAGGTGAACATTTTTTACCAAATTTAAAGAAATTCCCTCAAGGCATTACAGAGATATCGCGTTCACAAGGCCAAAACCTTGTTTTGTGAGGTCACCGGGACCTTGACCTTTGACCACTAAAATGTAATCAGTTCATCCTCGAGTCCACGTGAACATTTGTGCCAAATTAGAAGAAGTTTACTAAGATATCGTGTCCACAAGAATGGGATGGATGGACAACCCAAAGTCAGTATGGGTCTGGTGGCTGTGTTGGTGAAACATATTCAGTTGAGATACAATAGGAACAAGTCTCACACAATGGGATCTCCCTGCTTTACCCAAAGCATCCAATATGTTAAGTACTATGATGTGGTAACTGTGTTCATAGTCCAGTGAAGCATCTGTTATACTGACCCCTGTAAAAACTGTTGAAGTACAGTTATGGCTAAACCCACAGCTGCAGGTGTTAATGTACTAACTCGCCACAGGTGTTCTCAGTTACAGGCTGAGTACAGGCGCTTACAGGAGTGTGTTCTGTGTGTACTGGTCAGGCTCATTAATTGGCACCTGATTCTCTTTGCTTGTTTTTGTTGAACCTGTCAGCAGGAATACTCCTCTGTGATTGGTTGTGTTCAGATTGGCTTGTGAGCAGCAAGTTAATGTCATAGCAGCAGAAGTTATGGAGTGCTGTATGCTGAGAATGAAATGTACTGAGTTGTAGCAGAAAAGGATGAAGGTCAACACTGAACGTTTTAAATGACTGACACGCCGCAGTCATTGTTCAGACTTTTTGAAACTTTTGTCAAAGACATGATCCACTTTTCTCATGAAACTAGCCACAAACCTGAAGGACGGAAGACGGAAGATCTTTTCTTCTTTCTCTTCTTTCTCAGCACAGTTCTGTCCAACTTTAATTCAAAAAAGCCTCTTATCAACCAAAATTATTTAAAACACTGTAGGTGGATGAGTGGTTTGATGACAAATCACATTCACTGTGATGCTTGACTTTCATCTTTTCACTAAACTATTGTTTTAACTGTTGGAAAACAGAACTATATCACAAAACTATATTGAACTGCATATTGAATAATGTTAATGATTTTTACTTTTATTTCTTTCAAAATAAAAGACAAATTACATGCACACATGGTAATAATATGTAACATTTAGTGGAGTTTAAGGGTCTGAAAAAAAGTCTGTCTTGAGTAATGTTTACTAAAAATGACAGAGCCCAGCTGTTCAAGGACATCATTTTTGAATTTGAATTTTATAACAATAACACAAATATAGACTATCACCAACTTTAGTCTTTAAAATTAAAAGTCATGACTTTAAAGTACAACCAGTTGGAACTATTTTTAGGAAAAAAAAAATTAAACCACATTTGACACTGAACCACAACAGCAGTATTTTCAAAATAAAAGCACAACACGGAATAGCTATATTAAAAGCACACACAATAATAAAAGGTGATATTCAGTTTAAGGAATGGAAAAATTCTAATGTCTCAAATTTCACTGTATAGAAAGACGTCTTAAAGTTATTACACCAGCAGAAAAGCCAAGGTAACTGGACAACAAAAGGAGACTTTTACTTTCTCTTTTTTTTTTAAACACTGGGAACAGATGCGTAGATGTTGTCAGAGCATCTGCTCAGTACAGAATAATCCCATTCTGGTCCCATGTGCAAACACAAGGTCCAATCTTTCAGAGAAATTGGGTTTATGTTTGTTAGGTGACAGCACATTGGATGGGTGACCTCTCAATCTACACCAGGTCCAGTAATGTACACAAAGGAGTAGATGTTTCCCTTCAGCCCTCAGGCCCCAACGGCCCCTTTAATGATGTATTGTGTTCATCTGATTGGAATATACAGAGTGAACAGGGGAAGGACAGATAGCTCCTACTGCTACACCTGTGCTTTTAACTGTCAGTTTACCTCTTTAAATTACTTTCTGCTATATCTTGTATTCATATTTATCTATTTGACTGCTCTTTTTTTATTATTATGCCTTCCTGTGACGCATTGTAATCCATTTTTTTTTGTGACAAATGGAACAATAGATCAAACTGAAGGCGAGGCAAGTTCATTTATCAATTCAGTTAATATTTTATTACATTTTTTTTCAAGAAAGATTAAAAAGAAAAAAAAAAGAATGAACACACACACACACTAGTGTTCTAAAAAGCGTTTAGGAAGTGCTCTAAATAGTAAGTTTTTGTTTTTCAAATTACAATTTATTTTATTTATCAGTTGTTTCAAATATCATAACATGCAGTAACTTTCATATAAATATATGATTATGAAAATAATACTGTATATGCAACTCAGAGACAAAAGGAATTTAATAACACTGTGAAAGCCAATGCAAAGCATCCAAGTGGTGCCTCTTTAAATAGTTGATCAGATGTGAAGGTGGGCCTGTGTTCACTTCCCCTCCAGATGAAAAACTGTTGTGTGCAGGTCCCATCTGAGGCTCAGAAAATGCCTTGGAGACTGTGGCAGAGAATGAGAGACTCTGAGAAACCGCTGAATGACAACAAATGTCCGACGAGACCTTTGCAGGCAAACAGTGGTCACTGTGGGATTGTAGTGTACACACACAGAGCCAGGCAGGGCTGAGCTGGAAGTGTCAAAAAACAAGTCCAGGCTGCAGCTCTCTGCAGCTGGACGTCTGTCATTTACCTACTCTTGCATATGTGTGTCTGTTTTTCTGCATGACGGTTTAATTTAACATTCATGTATTTTGGGTTTTTTTTTTTTTTGCTTCAGTTTAGAGGAAAGCAAAATCAGAGATCCAGGAGTTTTCTTCTTTCAGCTCTTTATCCCTTTCAGTCTCAGTCTGTTTATATAATGTTTGTTGTTTCGTTCATATATATAATATCTTGACTATTAATACTATGAATCTGGGTTTACATTGATTACAGATTTGCTTTCCTGTTAACACTGCGCATCACAAAAATTTGTATTTTATTAACTTTCTAAAGAAATAAAGAATATGCTTCATCTGAACACAGTATAAACTAAACATTTCAACATTAATCCAGGACCTGCTGATTGATACAGGTGTGAATTCTCTCGCAAATATGCAAATGCCCTAAAACCAACTGATGCACAATGAACCTGGGACTTTAGATGGCTGATCCATTGATCCTCAATGGTGGAATGTAACAAGTATGTTTATGTAAGTATTTGTAATTCGAGTATAGTAGTATAGTCATACTACTTTATACTTTTACTCCATGACAGTTCAGAGAGTTATTTGTACTGTTTTACTCCACTACATTTTTTTCACAGCCATAAGATTTTCCATGTGATCAAATTATGAAATTTGATGCAATGTTAAAGAATAAACTACAAACGGTACTTAAAGTTGTTCACATTTGGTGCCACTTTGACAATATTCAAATGGCTTACTTCCTTTATCATATATGATAAATTTAGGTGCCACTATGCACAATGAGTACTTTTCTTTTTGATACTTTAAGTAGATTTTGATGCTAATACTTGTATATTTATGTACATAAAATTCACAATATGGTTCCTTTTAATTTAAACATGGCCTCTTTATATATTTGAAAAATTCAGGATTAAACGTGTTCTGATGCAGAACGCAGGTATTTTCTCAGGTTTCTTTTCAAGTATACAAATCAGCAGTCACTGGTAAATGATCTCTCTGTTTCTATATTTTTCACAAGACTGTGTCTTTAATGGAAGGTTTAGAGGAAATTTTAGGTAATGGGCCATAACAGTGGGGAATTAGTGGCCTGTAAAATGATATTGCAGCAGAAGTTGTAAGTCCTGAAACCAAACATATGGCATCTGTTGGCTTCATGTATTTAAACTGTAAAGCTCCATGTTTAGTGTGATAGTTCAAGGAGTGACCCATTAAACTTCACATGTATTTCACTTACACAGTAATGTACAATTACTGCCTGTTGTACACACTACACGAACAACAGCTCATGCTGTAACTTTATTGTCCACATGTCACTTTTGCAAGAGGTTGCACAGTGTTATCATTGTTATCTATATAAGCACTAGTTTACAATGTTCTTAGAAATAAACAATGATAAATGTGTGATGGACTCTTTGGAATCTACAGTATGTTGAAATTTATGGTATAACTACGCCATAAAGTGTTTCATCTGCTCTGTTTCCACATATAATAATTTTTCTGTATTAACTTCCTTTCTGATTTTCTTTTCTTCCAGACGTTCACAGAGGGCATCACCAACCAGCTGATCGGCTGCTACGTGGGCTCTCTCCAGGAGCCTGGTTGTGTCCTGGTGCGGCTGTACGGCAGAATGACGGAGCTCTATGTGAACCGGGACCGGGAGGTGGAGATGTTCCAGGTCTTCCACGCCCACGGCTGCGGCCCACAGATCTACTGCAGCTTCCAGAATGGCATCTGCTACGAGTTTGTTAGAGGAACGGTGCTGGACGACGACCTGCTCAAGCAGCCCTCCATCTACAGGTCTCTGCCAGAGCAGTTTTAACATTTGATTGATTTCTTCTGTAAAGTTGATTTGATCACAGACAGTGAGCTGAACATGTAGGGAGGGAACATGTTCATGCAATGATGACCATCATCCAGTGTGACAAGGTTGTCATTAAAAGGAGAAAAACAGTGACTCAAAGTTAATCAGAAATCATTTTGAAAGAGTTAAATCTTGACTTTTCAAAAACTTTTCGGTATTGAGCTTCATCACTAAGTTTGCAATATGGAATGCGAACTTAGCCCCCAATCTGAACAACATGTGTGTGTGTGTCTGTGTGCGTATATATATATGTATATATATATATATATATATATATGTGTGTGTGTGTGTGTGTGTGTTTATATATATGGTATGGGTACTGAATGATATGAACAAAAACAGTGGCATTCAGGTCATACTGCATCTATTAGGTTTGTTGCCACGTACTGTAGCCAAATGGGACTTTATGAGTGAGTTGTTATTTCATCATTATATAAAAACAATATGTTCAGTCATAGTACGTGATCTGTGAGTAAAATGATACAGCACAACATTATGGAATTTACTACTTAAACAGGGCTACTTCTTTGACATTTCAAGTTCATTAGTTAAAATATAATATGGTGGTTAAGATATGAGTTACAACAAACTTAATGTAAGTTTTATTTACTGTGAAGGCTGTTCAATCAGTGCTATCAGTATCACAGAAAAATACACAGTCAAATGATGTAAAATCTATTGTTTTCAGGTCAAACAGGTTTATTACTGAGAATAATGTGTTTTCTAAGAAAATAGTTGGAGGTCATTGTTGGAGGTCATGTATGTGTGTGTGTGTGTGTGTGTGTGTGTGTGTGTGTGTTTCTTTGTGCTGATGCAGGTGTTTTTTTCTTAATTATTTGAGTTGAGTCATGTTTCATGTTGAGCAATGTTGTTTAGTCATGGCCTCTGTTTCATTCATCACTCTGATGATAACAGGCCAGCATCATTATTCTCACCACAGGACAGTAGGACACAACACAGCAATGCCGAGGCTGAGCAGCCAGGGCCATGATGGACATCCATCACCCTGCTCTGCCTGATACCCTCTGTGGAGTATACCCAGAAAACTCTATGTCACCACTCAGATGCCTCAAGAATGAGCACTCTGGTGGTCAAAAGGTCACAAATGCAACAAGGCCCATTTTTTGAAAAGAAGAACAAGATAAGAGCGCTAAATGGAAAGGGAGTTGTGTGTCTACTCTGATAATGGTTGTTTGGGCAATAACAGCGTCAGCCAGGCTCATCTGAGAAAATGTTTTCTCTCCGCAGATTGATCGCAGCAGAGATGGGGAGAATCCACTCGATCCAGCCAAAATGTGGTCTGTCTGCTGAACCTCTGCTCTGGACAAAAATGTCCCACTTTCTCACACTGGTGCAGAGCAGCATCAACAGCAGCCCGGCCGAGCAGTGCTGCACAAAGAGGTACAACTCATGACACCATCTCACTGATGTTTTTAGTAGATATATACATTTAAGTCTGTATATTTGATTTGTTGTTAGTGATTTGGTTGGCCTCAGTCAAACTGGTGTTTTCTTCACCAAGGGATGTTTAGTTGATGAAATGACCTGCAACTGTTTTACTGTTATAGATATGAATGAAACATGACTCTGCAGCTGTATGACCTATTTATCATCTCAGATTTATTGACTACAACACTTTTGCGGACAGTGACAGACTTTCTAAGAGTTGAGGTTTGCATTTAGCTTCAGCAGTTTATCTGCCCTGTAGTCACAACTACACACAAGAGGAGCTTTTGTTCAAACCGGAGAGGTACAATAGTCAGCGACACCGCATACAGCCAGAGAGACCTTCTCAGGGGTTCAGGGCTGTCAGAGATGAACTTGAAATTTGGAAAACAGAAAATCAGAAGCAAAAGCCAAGAGCAGCCCAACCAGCTGACCGTTCGCTAAACCCAACCCCCTGAACAGTGAATTTCTGATCTTACCATAGCAACTGTAACTAAGCATGACAGGTCTGTCAAGCTTTGGATTTGTCCACATGCTGAAAAGTTTGGAAGGGGGTGTCATCTTGCTTTAACCCTCCCAAATCAAAAACACAAAAGCAAAAGTGTAAGAAATGGATTAAATGGTGTGTTTATCTGTTCTAAAATAAGCTGAAAACATTAGCACGCCCGGCTAACTAGAGTAATACAGTAGCCTACTAACTTATAAAAATACTCCATTACAAGCCCCTCATTAAGAATTCACCCTACATTAGTACATATGAATTAGTAGCAAGAAGTACTTCAGAGGCCAAAGAGCATGTCATCAACTACCTAAGTTAGTTTGTGAGGTTACAGGTTACGTTAGAAGAAGCTCCACTGACAACTAGCACAACTACTGTAAAGTTGGGACGCTGACTTTTCACCTGGGGCCTGCATTTAATTTTAGTCTTTAAACACAAATTTAAGACCCCTTTACAAGTTTCATGTTTTAAAACGAGCCAGCTGGAACCATTACATATCAGCTGGAGACAGCATTTTCAACTAGCTAATGGAGCTACACTACGCTCAGCTTCATTAGCATGTTAGCTACAGCTGAAAGGGTCAGTCTGGGACAGTAGGCTGCTTGACTTTGTCTTTTTCTGCCAGAATTGAAGGATCAATTGTTTAAAAAATTACTTTGGATGAATAATATTACTCATTATCAGAAAGCTGGATGGGTGTAGCAGGCATAACTAAGAGAGGGCGGGGTTTAGTGAATGGTCAGGTGTGCTCTCAGGTGTACAGTACGAAAGGTTCAAATTACAGTCTGGGCGAGGGAAGACAGCTGTCCATCATCCACTGTTCTGAGAATTACACCAGTTTCAGAGTTGGTGTAGGACCTCAGTAGTGGATCTTCGCCATCATCCTTTTGATAGAAACCAGCCACATTTTTTCACATTTTTATCTCTGAGGCCGCAGCCCTTCCACTGATGCCTTATCAGTTTCTCACATGCAAAAAGTACATTTCTCAAACCTGCTCCTTTCCACCAGTATATTGTCTTTTAAGTCGCTGGACAGTCACTGCTGGAGTTGTTCTTTTGGCACATTCACCTCTCACCATGTGGACGGAGGCCGTCTCTGTGAGCTGTCATTGGTCAGAGGGACGAGGCGGGGGAGTGGCCTCCGTGGCAATGACATTGCATTATCTCTAACAGGGGTCAGGGAGTGAGAGGTGAGAGGGGCGCTCCAGACACTACAAAGAAACAGACGCTCGGCCACAAGCTTCCTGCAGAGCTCTCCCTTATCGGTCAAACGTTCAACCTTGTTTATGTTTGCAGCGAAGGGGTCAGAAGTCCACACAAACTGTGGCTGCAAGGCCCAGAGTATCAGAGTCGCTTTGAGTTTCCTCTTTGAGTTTCTTCTTTGAGTTTTAGCAAGTAGGTAAAGCAATTTGTACCAGACTGAGTCATCTATAAAAGAGAAGGAATGCAGCAGGTATGATAAGAAGTCGTTTTTCAGAAAGACAAAAGCCCCACAAAGATCCAAGAGAAAGCCGTCCCGGCTAAACATTTTTGCCATCAGGAAGACAAGAAACAGGCAGCCATTCTTGTTCTCAGTCAGTATTTTCTGGTTCATCTGGCTTTTCATTAGCACTCCTTTTTTTTCTTCTATGATCTAGGAATGTTTTCAGCAAAATAAAATTACCACAAGCAGGCTGAAATAAATCATGCATCAATTTAGCCAAACCTTTTGAATCTCACATTTTTAATTTCATCAACAAAAATTCACACTCAAAGTGCTGATTTGTTGAGAATTCAACACACACACAGAAAAGTAATGAGATGCACTTTTAACTGTCTCAACAGTTTTCATTTTATTAACCAATGTCTACTCTTACAGTTCACTCATTTTTATTTTCATGCTCAAGCTTTACTTTTACACAGAACTTTCAAAACTGGTGAAAGACTCTTCTACTCGAAGCTTTGAGTGTGTGGATGAATCAGAACATCAACTTAGGATAAAGTACTGAAACATGCATCTACAGGAGCAAACTGCACCACATGTACAGGTCCAATAGATGGTGCTATATTGTGAGACATTTGTGTGAGTGAGTGGTTTGACACGGACCACTGCTGCTCAAACACAGATAGACGTGCAGAACAAAATGATCTGGAATCCATCATCTGTTCGGATATAAATAAAAATAGAGTGCTGGAGAAGTGCGATAAAGAGATGGAAGGAATGCTGCAGCATCATTTATTAGGTTTGAGATTTAAGAGGTTAATTTATGGTTGAAACTCAATTCTGTGGTGTGTATTTCTGTTTGCATATTCACTGGTCTCTTGAGTGTGCAACTGCATGTGTGACATGACACACATACAGACACACAGAAGCGGGGACAGAGGATACCAAGAATGGGGGGGAAGAGGGGTTTTAAACAGGCATCAGAGAAACTTTTGTACTTAAGAGTGTATGAGTGTTGGTATGAATGTGATCTTCAGAGGAAATGGTAAAAGAAAGGCAGAGAGAGAGAGAGCAGGAAGAGGCTGCACCTGCAGAGGAGGTCTTCAGCTCTCAAGCCACCCGCTGTGCAAAGAGAGAGACAGATAGAGAGACAAAGAGAGAGAGAGAGAGAGGGTGAGAGGGAGAGAGGGAGAGAGGGAGCGAAAGAGGCTACAGCAGCTGCAAGGTTCGGAGAGAGAGAGAGAGGGAGAGAGAGAGAGAGAGAGAGAGCACAGTAGAAGTCAGAGATGGGAGAGAAAAGAGAGAAAAGCAATGGAAAGCAAAAGTGCAACCTCTTCTTCTCCCAAAGGCCCCCTGCTACGTTTCCCGTTTGCACTTCCATGAATCGTATAAAAAACCGCAAAGAGCAAAAAAAAAAAAAAATCAGCAGTGCTCGGCTGGTGTTTGAAATCATATGTAAATAAGGCACATTGATAATGAAGCGCCAGAGGAGGAAATTCCACTAATTACCTTACAGAGACTTGACAGGGAGCAGGAGGCGAACGTACTTGATGCACTGTGCCTTCATGAAAAGGACAGAAAAGAGAGAGGAAAAGATCTGATGGCAAGACGACAGGTTTCCATTTAAAGTCAATGGAGGTCTTTCATTTAGCTTTTGACTCCGAGTGATCGTGGGTTTCTATGGTAAAGTCGGTTTGTTAAGGTTAAAGAAATGGATGGGTTGAAAAGGAATCAGGGTGATTCACCATTCGACTCTGTGTTTTAATTCATATTAGAGTGAGAGATGGATAAATTATGCATGTCAGAGGGGGTCGATTGCAAGTAACAGGAAGATTTCACAGGCGAGGAGATGTGAGTGAGACTCTGACAGCTCTACTCGAGGCCTACACTATTTTGAAAATGCAATTTAGAATTAAATTTTACATTCCCCACAATTTGAGTCGACAATAAAAGTGAAGCAAACTCTTTCTTTTTTCTATAAATGTATCAAAAAGATTCAGGAAACACAATCAAGTTTAGATCTCAACCTGTTTTTATTCAGTCAGTCCTTCCTCCATCTGTCTATCCACAGCAGGAAGGAGGAAGTGAATGACGTAGAGGAAGATAATATACAAAAATGACCTGTTGTGTTGTTGCAGATGTGTAGGAGGAGTTGTATAAGTCGGTCTGTGTCACGACTATAAACACGGCTCGGCTCCTCTGCTTTTATTGTGCGTTCCTAACAGGCCCTACTAAATTATGTCTACAAGTGTGTATAATACCGGAGCATCTGTTTGTTCCCCTTTGAATAAATAGGTAGTGTTTAAATTACACTGTTTAAATTACCTTCTTGTCGTGGCTCGATGACTGAAAAGAAAAAAACTCGAAAATTAATTAGGAGACGGATGCTTATGCAGCATTTCTTCCATCCAAGGACATTAGTCTTTGATAGATAGAGTAATCAACAGAGTGAAAACAAGGCATGTAACCTTACAAGGGTCCCTGAACCGCCTCAGTTTACAAACATGTTCTTAGAAGAAAAGTGTGGAGTTCATGACAAACCTGCTCCTCCACTTTTTCAGCAAACGTTCTCACCCCCCTCTCCGACTGCGCCGGAAGATTTCCCTTCGATGCACAAGTTCAGTGTTTTCCCCTCAGCTGCTGTACATAGGTATATCCACTGTTTGTTTGTGATTAGACTGAAATCCTGATTTTTCTATTTTAACCAGTAACCTTTGTAAGTCTGTGTTTTTCCTTTAACCTGTGGTGGACAAGCCTCAGCCCACAACAGGACACTAACTCTGTTGAAATCCAGACAAAATCAAATTCTTTTAGGGTGAACAGTCTTTAAATGCACGTGAGTCACAGTGTGTGAGGGGAAGCTCTCAGTTACACTGAACCCTTCAGAGAAAAGAAGAATAGTTGGAAAAAAAAAAAACATAAAGGTACAATGAGACGTTCTTACAGTGTCTTTTTCTAGTTAATGTCTTTTCTTCTTTGTCCTACCTTTAACTAACTTGTCATTGTTAAGAGGAACCCCTCCCATGTCACATGCTTCTGAAGACTGTGAAGTAGCATACATTTACTCAACTGCAGCACTTCAGTATAGTTTAAACTCCATATTATATACCAGATTTCAGAAGGAAATGTTTGCACTTTTTTTACTTCACTTCATCCATACCTGTTAACTACTGGTTAATTTGCTAATTAAGATTAAGACCAAAACATGTGATCAGTTTATAGAATATGTTGTCACAGGTTAAACTACTCAACTGTACATACTTACCTGCCAACACTCCTGTAGTTCAAGGTAACCTCCCGTCACCCTACTGCCATGGCCCTCAACCTTTATCATAAATAATCATCATACATGTATCCATATGTTTTCTATGTTTGTCTGACATTATCAAAGTTGCCAGGTTGTGTATGAAACACGGGCTGGACGCACAATCCACACACGTACACACAATTTCAACCCATCCGTTAGCACAACTTGGCAACCCACCATCTGATTCAAGTGGTGTGTGCAGCTGCTCTCTGTGCAGGCAGGACATCTGACTGTGGGATGAATGAATTGTTGTTAAATAGATAAGATCAGATAAGACTTTATTAATCCCAAGACAAACAAAATAAACACGTTTTGTTAAACAAGTTTATTTTATGTTCATGTAATCTAATGATGAATGTTAATATTAAATGAGAAAAAAATGTTCCATATTTTGAAACCTAAGGTCTGACATAATGTAGTTAAAATCACTCCAGCACATCCAACGACAGGGAGATACTCTGTCCACATTAATACACCAGTATCAATCATTCAACCAACTATAGGGGCCATTTGTCTACAGGACAAGGACATTTACTCCTATAATACTTTTAGTAGCCTAATTTTTGTTGAACATTTATTTATGGTTGTTTTACATAATGAAAAACAGGATGACAAAACATACTCAAATAAAGTTGACATGTACAGCACTTACAAAAAGGACAGTAAATGAAAGTATGCTAATAACAAAACCTCTTCCCACCCCTCATACTGGGGGCAAAAAAATCCATGAAGTAAAGTTAGGGCTGCATTCTCTAGTATTTCCACATCATCACTGCTAACACTGAGAAAGGTACACAGTTATATGATACAAGGGGGACAGATCTAATGGTCCTTGATATGCTGTAGCACCAGGTTCCATGTGGGTTGCCAGACGTTCAGTTCATTAAGTAGCCTAAATTACACCGGTAATTAAATTTTGTACTTTTACTTAAGTGAGATTTTGAATTCAGGATTTTCTTTCACCTCTGTCCACAGTGCAATCAGTGCACAGCTGCTAGGGCTGAAGTTACAAGAAAGCCAGATGCACCGTGAAGCAGAAGTTGTGCGCAATACAAAAGTATTCTTTAATTTAATGTGGAAACAGTCATTTTTGCTTCCATGTAAAGTTGTGGTGACAAAATGTAAAAGTTAAGCTGCATTACTTTGGAAGTGGAGAACACTGACTGACTGTTTTGGATATTTGCTGACTAATGATAACACCTGTCTCATGTCTAAATTATAAATTTGATAACTAAAGGCTCAAGCTCTTGGAATGAAGTATCACACACTGGCTAAATTGCTAATCATGAATGATGTGTGGTTTACTGACATCACCTGAAGTGACTTTTGGGAGCTGAACTTGTGCTGCCAACCTACACAACCGCCTTGTACCCACAGCTACGAATCAAACACACTCCTCTTTCATGAAACATGCCTCAAAACGTTGGAGAGACAATCCTGTCTTCTCCATCATGAAAAAAAAGTAATGTCAGTGGTTTTTACCTCTTACAGTTCTGCGGCTCTGCTAGAGGTGCCCAGCTTTGAGACTCTGTCAGCGGAAATGGAGTCACTGAAGAGACACCTCTCGCAGACTGACTCGCCGACTGTCCTCTGCCACAACGACCTCCTGACGAAAAACATAATATACAACCAGAAAGAGGGTGAGGAACGGCACTGCACATCACTGACGGGCAGATTTTCATCAACTAGATGCCAAAACCCGAGTGAAAACATTTCAGAATAAAAGACTGCCTCATTCTCCACCCTTTAATTGTAGCTCTGTGATGAAGGAACCTCGGTCCATTACTGAGGCTAAATTAAAAGAATGTGTCTCTTTTCATCCGTTTGAAATAATGCAGCTCACAGTCTTCATATTGCTTCCCTTTATTTTACACACGGAGGTAAACCTTTGCACTGCTGAAATCCTGTTCCCATTTTATTAAATATTTTATCTCATTTGTTTTATCCTTTTTATTATGAGTTTATTTTTCTCACACATTTTACAAAGATGCCATGGGCGACTCTCAGTCAAAAGAAACTCCTTGTGCCTTTGACTCCTACAAGGTTCTGTACTTTCAATAAAAAGAAGGAGAGTCAGCTATACCTGAGATGTGTTCGTCATGTTGCCCTGGTAACCGCTACTGCTCTCCCTCTCTCTCCTCCTCCATCAGGAATGGTGAAATTCATTGACTACGAATACGCCGATTACAACTACCAGGCCTTCGATATTGGAAATCACTTCAACGAATTTGCCGGTAGGTCTGTGTCATGATGAAAACAAGTTCAATTTGCCAGAACATATAAGACTGATGTTGAATAGATGTTGTGTGTACAGCATGTGATATGCAGAATGACTGCTCAGTTTGTGCACTCTCCTTAACTATGATATCATTTTATCTTTCTGCCGATATGTACCATGACACTATGTCCTCCTCCCTCTGATGCTGCCAAGACAAATTGCTGTCTTCAGTATGTATTGTGTCTGGTGATAATAGAGACAGTGATGTACCAGCTGTGTCACAATGAATCTTCACTTTAACACTTTTAGATTGAAGTGATTGAAAACTTGTGATCATTACAGCTTTCATGTCAATGTTCACCATCTCAAAGTGACTGTAACTGAAGTCACATCTGAAAATTATCTGTGTTGTTCTTGCCCCTTGACCCTTAAAGGACCCATATTGTATAAAGTGATATTTCCATGTGTTATTTGATTATAAATCAGGTTTAGCTTCTATATTAATACAGTGAAAGTATCAAAGCCTCAGTCCACAGAGAAATGC